GGTCCTACTTTATAATAAGTGCCTCTAATAACTGTGTAGTTACACATGAATAACATATGCAACAACACTGTAACTGCTGATGCTTTAGCCAGTGTTACAGATGAATTACACAAGTACAGCCTATGTAATTACACGTGTATCAACTTCAGTTTTGCCTCATGTAATTACACAAGTGTATCTTTTTAAATCTTTTCCAGCAGTTAAAGGAAGTATGTTTTATATAACATTATATTTATGTTTTACATAATTACTGTGGAATAACTGTGTTGTAACAAGATAACCTAATCACAATGCAACACATTTAATTAATGTCATAAAAGTTACATTTTAAGATAAGGTGACATCTGCTGTACTGTCACATTACAGACTGGTTTGAAGCACTAGCAACATAAATGCTAGCTAAATGTTAGGGAAGCTGGCAGATACAGTGTAAGTAATATATTAATGTAAGTTATTACATACTTTCTTTTACTGCTGGAAAAACCTCTGAAAAAAACTGCTGTTTCAGTCTGATTACAAATGTAATTACATTAATGTTATTACCCTTGTGTAATTACATGAGAGACAATAGGCTGTTACAACTATTAAGATACCCTTGTGTAATTACATCAGGCAAAACAAGTTGATACACATGTGCAATTACATAAGGTGTACTTCTGTAATCCACCTGTAACAGTGCCTAAATCATCTGTAGTTACATCGTTGTTGCATATGTTGTTCACATGTAACTACAAAGTTATTAGACACTTAATATAAAGTGGGAAATTATGTATTTTGGTGAACCATTCCTTTAAAGGCTTAATGTATGTCCACAGTTTCAATGTTAGATTGTACGTTTGTAACATTTAATATGTGCATGTTTTCAGACCCTGAAGCTGACGGAGAGTGAGAAGCTGCAGGTTCAGATCCAGGCCTATCTGGATAATGTGATAGATGTGGGCGCTCTGCTGGAGGATGCGGAGAATAAAGGAGGAATTATGGACCATGTGGAGGACTTGCAGGAGCTCAATACACAGGTCAGACACATTCAGAAATGTGCACACAGTCATGTACAGCATGCTGTATAGCCACGGGTAAAAAAGTACTTTAGTAATCAATACTATCCTTAATAATTATTTTGGAAGATTTGTACTTCTGTATTGCTAAAACGTAATACTTTTACTGAATTACATTTCTAAAAGAAAAAGCTTGCTGCACATTTAAATTTGTTGTTGTTCTTATGATTGTGAAATAAAACTTCCCTTTTTTGCTGAAACCACATCACACATCACCAAACAAAAAAACCTTTATTAGTTATGTTATAACTTACGTTTGGGGGGAGGAACATGGCTCCCTTCCTTATTCCCATCTAACACCCTATAAATTCACATCCTCACCTTCCGTTCCTGTGACGAAGGGTTTGCAATCCCCACCGCCACCCCATCTCCTCCCTGTTCCTCAGTCCTGCATCAGTCCTACTATAGCTATGAGGGGGGTCTGCCCTTCTAGCTACAGACAGAAGCTGCCCAGACCTCCAGCCCAAGTTCTCAGATTTCTCCTCCTCCCTCAATCAGTCTTCTGTCATACTATCACCATCATGTTGAAGGCATTTAAAACAAAATATAAATTTATTTTTTTATAAATTTATTTGCTAAATTGTTTGCTTTTTACTTTTATATACCTGAGTTTGTTTAAATGTAGATACTTGCTGATTTTAAGTCTGAGTACAATTTTGATGCAGTACTCTTTGAGACTGCTTTATACATTTACATTTTATATTTACAGCATTTAGCTGAGACTTTTATCCAGATCGACCTCCAAAAGTGCTCTGTTGTCAACTCAGAGAATGTATCTTAGCTAGTGCAAATAGGTTAGAGTAAAAGCTAGTCCTCAGATATTGCTAGAAACAAAAGCCCATGTTGATACCTAGAGAAAAACAAACAGAGTTAGACATTAGACAGTGCAATACAATACATTTCAATAAGTACTTATATCAGTGCTCATTTAAGTGCTATATAAAGTCTGCGTTTGAAGACAGCAAGAGACTCTGCTGTTCGGACAGCCAGTAGGAGTTCTTTCCAGCACCTGGGTGCCAGTACAGAGAAAAGTCTTGCTGCTTGTCTTCCATGCATCTTGAAGGATGGCGGGTCAAGCCGAGCTGTACTTCAAGCTCGAAGGGGTCGAGGTACAGTTCGAGTTTTGACCATTGCCATTAGGCTGGTCCGAGGTTTTAGATCTGATGCATGCAGCTACAGGAAGCCAGTGAAGAGAAGCACAGCAGTGGGGTGATGTGACTGAACTTGGGGAGATTGAAGACAAACTGTGCTGGTGCATTCTGGATGAGTTGCAGAGGCTTGATGGCCTGCATTGGAAGACCAGCCAAGAGTGAGTTGCAGTAGTCAAGCCCTGAGATGACAAGAGACTGAACGAGCACCTGGGTGTCCTCTGGAGTGACAAAGGGTTGAATCTTCCGGATGTTGTACAGGAGAAACCTGCATGACCGAGTTGGGTTCTTGATATGAGCTGAGAACAATAACTGGCCATCCAGAATCACAACGAGACTTCTTGCCTCTACAGACGGAACAATCAGAGAGTTCTCGAACGAGATGTCAACATCACGGTGAGGACCTGTAGTTCCAGGGATGAATAGCAGCTCAGTCAAGAGGGCGGTGGGGGAGGTGGAAGAGGAGAGAGGAGACGATGCTGAAGAGCTTGTGTGGATCAGATGCTGATGCTTCCAGTTTCCCTCTGTAGAAAGATGACTTTGCAGCAGTTACTTCAAGTGGTGGTGGCATCCTGTGTAAATAAAAATAATGCCTGGCCACAACTTAATTATCTCGTTCCCACGCCTTACCCAGTCGTGGCCACAACTTAATTATCATGTTCCCACACCTTACTAAGTCATGGCCACACATTAGGATCACATTCTCACACCTTACTAAGTCATGGCCACGAATTAGGATTTCAGTCCCATGCATGGCCACAACTTATTATCTCAGTCACATGCCTTACTCAGCAGTGGCCACAACTTAATTTTCTCGTTCCCACGTATTACTACGTCATGACCACGACTTAATTATTTCGTTTCCAAGTCTAAGTTGTTGCCATGGCTTAATTATCTCATTCCCATGCCTTACTAAGTCGTGGCCACACATTAGGATCTCATTCCCATGCCTTACTAAGTCGTGGCCACACATTAACATCTCATTCCCACACCTTACTAAGCTGTGGCCACAAATTAGGATCTCATTTCCATGCATTTCTACGGCGTGGCCACAACTTAATTATCTAAGTGGCATGCCTTACTCAGTCTTGTCTTTAATATACTGTTCCCACACCTTACTAAGTCATGGCCACACATTAGGATCTCATTGTCACGGGTTACTACAGTGTGGCCACAAATTATTTTTGTTTATGTGGGGTGTCACCAGCAGGGCTTCATAAGTGAGAACATAGAAAGGAGAGATTGGTAGGAGCGAAGATCGGAGTTAAGCTGGGAATTTCATCCACCTTCTCTCCACCTTTATTAGCTGTTGCCGGTTGCTGCACAGGACACCTGTCAGCCAGGGTGTGGGCACAGCTTTCTCATATAATTTAGAGCCTTTCACTTCTTTTTGATATTTAGATATTTAGGAATAATACATGTTTAATTATATTTTCAACCTATGTGACATTTTTTACTTTCATTAAAAGATTGTTAGATATTACAACTTTGCTTAGATTACTTCATAATGAATTTAAAATGTGTGTTTTGTATCCTCACTGCTTCTGTGTGTGTGTGTGTAGTTGAATTCAAGGCTACAGGACTGTGAGAGCAGAGCGATGGAGAAAGTGGCTGAACTGGAGCAGCAGCTCATGCAGGCCACCAAAGAGTCTGCTCTACTGAAGGTACTGTACGCCATCTCTCTGTTTCTGTCTCCCCTGTTTCTTCCTCTCTGTCTGCCTCTCTGTTTCTCTCTTTATTTTTACCTGCCTCTGTCTTTCTTTATCTCTTTCTGCCTTTCCCTCTCTCCCTCTATCGATATTTCTGTATATCTGCCTCTCTCTCTCTCTCTCTCTCTCTCTCTCTCTCTAACCTCTTGTTTATGCGTGTGTAACAGGAGAGTTTGCGGGAGTCGTGTGCTCAGGTGAGCTCTCTGCAGCAGAGGGAGCGTGAGCGAGAGATCGAGAGAGAGATAGAAAAGGAGCGAGAAAGGATATCTCAGCCTTCTCAGGTAGAGAGAGAGACAGAGACAAGTAAAGAGAAGGACTCAAGGCTGGAGGTGAAGCTAAGAGAGCTGCAGGAAAAAGGTTTGGTCAGACTGGAGCGAACTGCCTCTGGGTGTTTGGACATCGAGGTCATCCCTGTTACCATAGTGCAGACTGTACCTGGACCTGCCCCAACAGCTGTCGCTCAAGCAGGTACAAATCAGACCAAATGGGTTTTGGGATCAGGATCACAATTTGAATTCTCTAAAGATTTTCAATTGTGAATCACTACTGATACTACAGTGTAGTCATGACCTAGACTGCCATGTCCAGGAAATTGGGACTGGATTGAATGGTTTCAAAACATTTTCAATTTACACCTTTCTGAATTAAACAGGCCATCAGACAGTTTGATTTAAACTTTCGCTGACATTTCACAATGTCACTGTCAACTTACTCATTGTAACATTTAATTGGATCACTAGGGGGTGCTATAACTATGATTAGGATCAGTTGCCATTTACTGCTTGGACCCCGATAATTGCCATTTGCGGCTGTGTTTTTTTAAGGGTTTTTTCCAAAATCAGGCTCTGGTTTAAAGTGTGTTTTTGTAATATGTGACTTACTTAATAAATGTCCTGCTTAACGTCATTCCAACAGACTCAGGACTCGCCAAGGAAGCCGCTCCATCCTCAGCTGCTCCTCCACCTCCTCCTCCTCCTCCTCCTTTACCTGGATCTCCAGAGCCGTGTGGAGGCTCAGTCCCACCTCCTCCACCGCCTCCACCTCCCCCAGGATCTGGAGCTCCCCCTCCTCCCCCTCCTCCTCCGCCCCCAGGTGGGGGTCCGCCACCTCCCCCGCCTCCTCCTGGCTGTGGACCGCCACCTCCACCTGGAGCTCCGCCTGCTCTAGGGGGTGAATCAGGTAAAGACGGGGATAGAATGCAGTACAACATTGAGAATGAAGTTATGACAAATCAATAGAATGGAGTTATTATTATCAATATCTAGAATGTGCTGCATTTCAAAAGTGGTGATCAAATCTGGAGGCAGAACAAAATGACTGTTAATAGATTGATGCAGATTATTATTCATCATTTAATAACTTCTTCTTGTTCCCAAAATCTTGAAATATTGAATCTAATCTAAAAGTACCTTTTTTCCGGACAACTTTTTATCTAAACTGTTTTTATTTTTTAAAAATATCAAAAATCATGATTTCAGACCTTTAATCTGCAATATTATTGCACTTTTAAAGATGATCGCACACATGCAGGTACGAGGAGAAGAGGATTCATTCTCTGTGTTTTCCCCCAGGTGTTAAGAGCCGCAAGCCCATCCAGACTAAGTGCCGGATGCCGCAGCTGAACTGGCAAGCTCTGAAACCAAATCAAGTGGAAGGAACAGTGTTCAAAGAGCTGAATGACGAGCATCTGTTTGAGGTACAACCTGCACAAACAGCAAATATAACTGTAAAAACCCTTCAGCGGAGATCATTTCATGCTCTTTCCATTTCATTTTAATCACTTTATCTAACCATCTGTGGTCCCACACTTCAATTTCTCACTCTAATAACTACATTACTTACAAATAAGTTTAATAGAAGCTTCCAAATCATTCATAGTTGTAGTCATATGCAAAAGTTTGAGCACCCCAGTTAAAATAAGTGAATACATCCTCTACAGGGAATAGACTTCTGCATATTTTAATGAACAATTACTGTTTATTTGCTGAATTTAACATATTAGGGCCAAAATAAAATTTAATATGTGGCCTGTGCAAAAGTTATGGGACATTTTATATTTTGTTTTATTTTTTTCCAGTATGTTAAACTCAGCAGATGAATGGAAATTGTGCACAAACATTTGTAGAGAAATGCCATATTGGAGTCTCCTGTAGAGGATGTGTTCACTTATTTTCACTTAGAAAATCAGCAGCACATGTAGTTTGACCAGGAGTGTTTAACTTTTACAAACGACTGTGGTTGCTGAATAATATGCCTTTTTTAATGACTGAATAAAAGTAACACAACTGTAGTCTAAGTAGTTAAATCTGCCTGCTGATTCCACGTCTCCTCTCTTTCCTTTTCTCTCAGTTAAATTAGCTTTTTTCGGTATTAAAATATTACATACTTTTTAGCCTAAACATTTCTGTTTACATTTGTTATACTCATATGCTGTTGTGACGTTTGTTGTCTGCTGTTGGGTCCAGTATTTTCTATCATTGATTTTGTAAGCAGCCTGGAGATTCTACATGTAGTAGAATTATTACATGCAGTAGATTTTTTGTTGTTTTTAATATATAATGCAAACTGTAACTGAAAATAATGGGTTTTATTCCAAAGCGCATCAAATGGCACTTTCTCTCTTTTATTTATGTTCTTGGAGATCAATGCTGTATTATGTTTAATACCACCATTATCTGAGTATATTTTTTCGGAGTACGTCAGCTGTTATTCTTTGCAAACCTCTTTATATCCAAAACTGTTGCAAATGAAAATACAGCATTTTGAATTGAAGTCTTTAAATGGTATTTGGTTATAAAAACCTGGGTACATGTCTCAAAGTGATGCTTACTTTCCTCTCTTTTCACTCAGGAGCTGAATATGGACCTGTTTGCAGAGCGGTTTAAGACGAAAGCTCAGGGTCCTCCAGCAGACCTCTCCAAGCTGAAGGCGAAAACTCAGAAACCTCCCACTAAAGTCTCCCTCCTGGAGGCCAACAAGGCCAAGAACCTGGCCATCACCCTTCGCAAGGCCGGCATGAGCCCTGCTGACATCTGCACCGCCATTGAAATGTATGTAGAGCATCCCTACGTTACTGCATGTCGCTGTTTTTGGATGAAAACCTCGTATCTCCAAAATGGTAACTTTATAGGAGAAGGAAAAAACCTACTTTACTTTTAATGTAATTCAATGGAACCAGACTTTTTTTCCAAGTAATTTTGGGCCGTTTCTTTTCGTCCCTTCATCATGAAATGTACATGCAATGTAAAGGGTAACAGGTATTTTCAAATTACGTCAAAAACAAGATACAAGGTTTTCTGCCAACTATAGCGATATGTGGGTTTAAACAGGCCGAGCTGAGAGCAGTGATATACCTCAGTTTTGGTCCTGTAGTCCCTCTCCCTGGCACGCTTTAGTGTTTTACCTGTTACAGCACCTAATCACAACTCCTCAACTCATTACTTCATGAAGAAATGATAAAAAAGGGAAATGCTAAGGCTGCTTTCATACCTACCTCATTTGGTGCTGACCAATCAAACCAATCAAAATCAGTTGCTGCTTGTTAGAATGCATTTTTCATTCATGTTCCACACTAAAGCTTGCTTTCCTGTTCTCGAAGCAGGACGTCAGTGCTGTACTGTCCGCACAATCTGTTTATAGACACTCATATCTTCGCAGCATATGCTAATAATGGCAAGATGAGCAATAAAAAAATAGCTAAGCAATGCATTTGATTTTGGCACATGGATTGTGGAATGTTTTGTTGGCCAAGCTTCAGCGACCTTTGATCATAAAGAAGCAAGTATGGTTAATTTTTATTGCTTTGATTGTGATTCACATCTGTTAAGTGTCTCTATTATAGTACAAAGTAGGTGTAGGGTGATCTAGATTATACATGAGAGATAGATATGGATGTTATACAGTGATAGGCTAGTGAAAGACAAAAAATGTAATAAATCAACAAACAGCCATGTGTGTAATTTTGCGCACTTCAAATATTGTGGTGTGAAACCAAGAGAACCTAAAGAAAAAAGATACAATGTCACAAAAACCCAAACTCTGGTGCACACAGAAAACTAAGTGTGAAAATTCCCTCCTGTGTGCATATATATATATGTATATATGTATATGTGCATATATACAAAAACTAAGCTGCAAAAACAGCCCATTTTGAATGTGTTGTGTTTGTGACATCACAACCATGAACACCTCTACATAGGAATTCCCTTTCAGTCAACAGTAGTTCTGCACCCATTCATGTTGAAGTGATGCAGAGTGTCGTTCCTGCAGTCTGTAGCGGAGTTATTGCAGTGGAAGATTTGAGAAAATGATTAAACGTTGTACTGTTCATGGCTGTCGGGAGGCAAATACATCAGTGTAGTCTTCCAAAGCATTCACGCCTCTAAAAGGACTGGCTGAAGTTTATTTTCAGTTCCAACTAGAACAATTTGTTGCACATTGCAGCCTGGACTGTTTCTGAATGAGTTATAATACAGGGCAGCCAATCAGAAAAGAGACCATTTACATAGATCAGTCTTAAAGGCACAGTAACAAAAGCATCTTGTTTAATTTTAAGTGTAGAGAGGTTAGAAAATAGTCATATAAAAACAAATTCTGACTATTTTTGGTACAAAAAGCCATGCAAACATTATAAATGCAATCCAGGGAAAAGATAAAATCCTTTAAGCAATAACTGGTGAAAAATAAAACTAAAGATGGCTGATGTTGTACAACAATCTCTGAAAGTTAATTTTACATGACCATTTCTTCGCTGTCAGAACATTTTTTTACATAAATTGAAAATGACAGCTGCCCCTTACATTGTGTTGAAATTTCATGATGAATGGACCAATAGAAAAGGGCCAAAATAACTAAGAAAAAAATGAACAATTTAACTCCTGTAAAGTTACCTTTTTGAGGATATGGTGATATTTTTTCCCACAGTGAAGACAGTTTCCTTGGCTTAAAGGTGAAAACTTTGGAATCACTCTCCTTCTTGCGTTCTCTCTCAGGTATGATCAGCAAGCTCTGAGCCTGGACTTCCTGGAGCTGCTGGAGCGTTTCATCCCGTCTGATTACGAGCTGAAGCTGCTGCAGAACTATGAGAAGGAGGGTCGTTCACTAGAGGAGCTGTCTGAGGAGGATCGCTTCATCATGCGCTTTGGCAAAATCAAGCGCCTGGCTCAGCGGATCAGCACCCTGACCTTCATGGGAAACTTCTCCGACACAGTCAAGCGCCTGCAGCCGGTCAGCACAGTACTGATTGTGTGCACTCACATTAAAGTGAGCTGGGCATTTTAGTGTGTTAATGTCTTTTGTTCTTCTACCTTTTACCACAGCAACTGAACTCCATCATCGCAGCCTCCATGTCCCTCAAGTCTTCCACCAAGCTGAAGAAGATCTTAGAGGTAAGCAGCTGAAGGTGCTGTTGGTCACAGGAGAGCCAAAGATAAAGGCATAAATGACGTTCAAAAGTTTGGAATCACTGGTTTCAATAATTTAAAACGAGGCAGATGTATAAAATGATTCTACTATGATGTTATTGTTCTTTATACGCTTTAAAATGCTAAGTGACAAAAAAATGTCTTTTTTGTTTATGGTGTCACAATGTTTGGGTAGTCCTAAGTAAATGGGTTCATGGTTGTGACATCACAACCATGAAGAATTTTCAATAGGCAGTTTTTGCAGCTTAGCTTCAATATTGTCACTGGTATCTCCAAAAAGATTTTTCTTCAAAAGATTTTCTTAACTTTGAATGGAAAACTTATCTACTGGTTTACTGCAAATCAAATGTAATTACATTGTAATTTTGTCACATTTCTTCAGTTCATGGTGATTCTAATAGAAGATTTTGCACTAAATTCAAATCTGTTTTTTTAGTGACACAATGCAAATGAAAAAAAAGCATAATTAAATTAAAATTTAGTGGAAATAGAATAATTTTGCTTCTGTAAAATTCAGGAGGCATAACATTAAAAATGAAGTTATAATGAATGAAGTTATAATACAGCCAGAATGACTCTGGTGTGGTGATCAAATCTCAGGACAGATGCCTCAAAATACAAACACAGTTCCAAAAAAGTTGGGACAGTAAGTAAAATGCAAATAAAAACAGAAAGCAGTGATTTATAAATCCACTTTGACCTGTATTTGAACAAAAACAGTACAAAGACTATCAACTTCATTGTTTCCAGTAAATATATACGTTCACCCTGAAATTGACACCTACAACATGCTGCATAACAGTTGGCGGACAGGAACATTGTGAAATTTTCAGAAAGCATCTTGAATGAGTGATGCAATTGTGCTTAGATATAAAGGAGTGTCCAGGAAAGGCTGAGTCCTTTATAAGCGAAAATGGGTCGAGGCTCACCACTTTGTAAAAAATCCATCAGCAAAAAATCCAATAGTTTAAAAATAACTTTCCTCAGCAAGCGATTTTAAAGAGTTTAGGTATTTCACTCCCCACAGTGGATAATATCATCAAATAATTCAGGGAATCCATAAAAAATTTCTGTGAGTAAAAAAACCTTTGAAATACCGTTGTCAATAAACATCATCTGTCGCCGCATCCACAAACGCAAGTTAAGACTGTATTATGCACAGTATAAGTCACATGTCAACGGTGTCTAGAAACACTGCCAACTTCTCTGGGCTTGAGCTTATCTGAAAATGGACTGATGCACAGTGGACACGTGTGTTGTGATGGCTGCGTCATCAGAGAGTGCAGGTGCTAGATAGGCCTACTGGCAGTCCAGAACTGTCTCTCACTGGAAACATGTTTTATTAAACTCAAAATATGACAACAAAGGCTCTGTACAGTTGGACAGCTGAAGACTTATATAGTAGAAGAACAGCAAAAAATTAATCTTTCAAAACTAGATCAGTTTGTGTCTTCAGTCCTCAAAAGATTTGTATATGCTGTTAAAAGGAAAGGTGATGTAACCCGCTCCAGCTTTTTCTGGAACATGTTGCTGGCATCAGAGTGCGTATTTACCGAAAGCAATCAAGTTCATTAGGTAAAACGTAAAATATTGTGTTTTTGTACCGTTTTCAATTTTAATACAGGCCAAACAGATTTACTAATCACAGGCTTGTTTTTTTAACATTTCACATACTGTCCCAACTTTTTGGGAATTTGTAGATAAAAAAACCTGAGACAGTAACAAAAAAAATGTAAATACTGCATAAAACATTTACAATAAAAGTTTACAATAGAGTCTAGATGGTGTAATTTACTGTCAGATAGGAAGATAACAATGATGATTAATATGACCCCGTATGAATAATCTCATTCCAAACTTTCTTCTTCAGATCATCCTGGCCTTTGGGAACTACATGAACAGCAGCAGTAAGAGAGGAGCAGTTTATGGCTTCCGTCTGCAGAGCCTTGATCTGGTAAGACTGAACATTCTGTGATTCAATGTTTGTATTAAAACCACCCATAAGATTAGGAGAGAGGAACACTTTTGGGTTTATGCTAAATCATTGTCAAACAATTTGTGCAAGAGTAATATTTTTTAATACAAATAACTCACAAATAAAACATAAACCGTGGGTTTCCAGCACATACCATCTGTCCATCTGTGAACAATTCAGCTGAAAGTGCAAATGTTAGAACTTACCTTACGGGGGAGTTAATTGTAACACACTAAAGGATTCATTCCGAAAAATGCCTATATCCATAAATATACACACATCAGGAGGTTAATTCGTGAAAAAAGAGGTTGTCGAACACTGGCGAATTTAGTTTTTACTACAAAGTGGAACAGCAATATAGGTAATATATATATATATATATATATTATATACCATCTATAATTTTAAAATGCCTGTTGCCTTTTACATTGTGTGTAAATTTTGTGATGAATGGACCAAATTAAATGGCCCAAAATTAAAAAAAAGTCTGGTTCCATTGACTTACATTGAAAGTAAGTTATTGTTTTTCCTTCTCCGGAGAAAGTTTACCTTTTTGGAGATACATACATATATAAATAACACAATAAACACATACACATACCTTTAAACCAAGGAACAACAACGTTAACAACACAAATGACAACATTTAGTGTCCATTTGGTGGAGGGGGCGGGGCATGTCACGCCACTCTGTATACCACGCCTCTAAATCCCCTTCTGCGAACCAGAGCAAGTGTCAGCTTCCACAATGTGTGTGTGCGGGTGTGTGTGCATGTGCGTGTGGCTCACCGCTCCTACCACTAGGCTACAGGCCAGATCAGAGACGTGTTTTACTCCAGGCTTAAGCTGAGTTACACTTTACCCTGCATTCATTTGTGCCCCCCTCTGTTATACATATGTGAAGTAAAACTAAAGACAAATGTGAAGGTAACACAACCCAACCTTATCTGAAGATTTCAGGACTATAAGAGATCTTATTTGTTCTCTCTCTGTCTGTCTTTCTTAGCTGTTGGACACCAAGTCCACTGATCGCTCTCAGACACTGCTGCACTTCATCGCAAACATGGTGCAGGAGAAATACCCTGACCTGGCCAACTTCCACTCTGAGTTGCACTTTGTGGACAAGGCTGCACTGGGTAAGAGCTTTCAACACATTCAGAGCACACTGACCATTGACCTGCACTCTTCAAAAAAGCAGGTTTCTTTAGGGTTCCTGGCTTGGACATACAGTTCTATAAAGAACCTTTGATTAATATAGAGATTTTATGTGGAAACCTTTTTAAACCAGAAGTGGTTCTATGGCAGCACTTCAGAGAACCCTTTTTGGGGCTTTTATTTTTAAGAGTGTGAGTGGCAAACCTCTTTCTTTCTCGTAGTGTCTCTGGACGGCGTGTTGCAGGACGTGCGTGCTTTGGAGCGAGGAATGGAGGGAACCAAGAAAGAGTTTCTGGTGCAGGATGACATCCCAGCACTGAAAGAGTTTGTCAAGGTCAACAGTGACCCGCTGGACTCGCTTGTTAAAGATGGAAAGACAGCACAGGTCAGACAACATAAGGACACATACACAGAGTCTCTAACTGTATCATTTCTATCAGTTCTTCTCAAACCAGTCCTCAGGGCCCACCAGGTGTCC